TATAGTGCATTACCTTTCCTTGACCTCTGATGATGACATCTCCTTCCACCACCTCCAAGATCCTGCCCCTCATTACGCCAGTCCTTTCTTTTCCAAAAAAAAACCAGCATATCTTTTATAAATATTTCCACTTCTGCATCTGCACTGCCACCTCCAGTGTCCTCAAAATACAGGCCAACTTTCAGAAGTAAGCAAACAATATCCAGCTAAACTTTCTCTGCTATTACTCTTCTTAATTCAATGAATTGTACTTTGCTAATTTTATGATACATTGTGTATGAAACAGAACTTCTTGCAGGTCAGCAACAAATTAGACTCTTTTCAATCAGCTCAAACACAAATTTGGGGCCGTAACCCATAACCCCATTCCCATTCCTGTATACCTAATTAAACATAACTCATACCTCTCAATCTCAGTGCCCTGGTCAAATTAAGCATTATTTATTCATCCAGTTGATCACCCAAGACTATTTGCTTACATCCTAGAAACAGTGAAAATTCTATCCATTTCACTTACCCCACTGCCACAAAATCTTTCATCATTTTCCAGAATAGACTCTTCAAAAGTCCTCTCCATAAGCTCCACACAACATAAACTGGAATGAAACCTGTACCTTTAACCACGATATTATCTTCCACCAAGTATCTCTCAATTCTATGACTGGAGTAGTTTGCTGGATCCCAGATTCTCCTAATACCAATTTAAAAATCATCTTCTAAGGTCTCCACATCCTCCTTATCTTTGCAATCTTACATAACCTCAGCCCCTGCCCACCTTTGTCGTTCCCTTTTTGTCCTTATTCATACTTTCTGCTTTTCAAAGTTCTGCTCCACAAGTTTCTTGCCCCTTCTGAAACTATGTATGACAGCTATCCTGGCTCTACAACTCACATTACAGCCCTATCCTCTATCTGGTAGCCCATTAGATACACTACTCATCTTTACAAGTCCCCTGAAAAATCTATCTCCTTAACAGGTGGCTGTTAGCTATCTCCAATCTGAACTTCAAAGGTAAAATAATTGAGAAGCTTTTGTACCTTAAAAATGTTTTTGCTGTGTACGGTATCAACATTAACAAATTGTATGTTTTTAACAGATTGTATAATGACAATTATAACAGTTGTGCTTGCATGTGAAATCTCTCAGCAAACAAAATATGTTTAATAGAGGTTTTTATTTATAAATTCTATATCTTTCAACACTACAGAAAAAATACAGGATTCCATTTTCTTTATATTTTGTATTTCTTTAATTTTCTTCACATGGCATTGATTTTATAGTGGCAAACACAGAAAAGTACAAAAGCCTATTTCTAGTTTCAAAGTTTTGCCTCACAAGCTATTGAGTATTTACATCATGAAAAAGGACAAACTGTTGTTCCCTCTAAAATACAGCCCTTCCCCCCACAGGGGCAAAGGTCACAGTAGCCAAACCCTTTCAGTACAAACAAATCAAATTTAATGCAGTTTTCTGCATCCTTTCTGGCTTTCTTCCCTAACAGCAGGATTTTGTTTTTGCAATTACTTCTACCTTAATGATATAGTGAGCATTGAGAGCTGATTTAACTAGTTATTATGCAAATGGCAGAAAATGCAATGAATCAACAAACGATACAACATAAAACAGTGCATAATTTGTAGTCAAATCAATCATCCAGTAAAATATACCACAGCTTAGCTAAATATTTGTCTTTGTTAGTTAGATTGTCATTTTAGAAATTATTTTTGATGATATGACTATTTTACATGATATTTACATGAAAAGTTTGATTGCTCCTGTGTGTCATGTCATAACTGATAGAATTAAATACTGTAAAATATTTAAATAAAGCAAATGATTCATTTTAACAAGTGCATCTGGTAAAGTGAAAGGTTGGAAAATATTGTTACGATTCATTTCAGAGAGACCTCATTCACATTTTTCAATCTGTCATTTTAAAATGTAATTTTATTTCCACAAATGTGCTTTTCATGCTACCTTGGTGGATCACCAACTCAAGCCAGCCAGTTGCTTATCCACAGTGAGCAGGAAGGTACCAAGTTTGATCACCAGCCTGTTCTGAGTTTGCGGATTTCAAGTGGAGAGATGTGAGGGCATTACAATTGGCTTCAGTGCCCAGTAAGTTAAAGAAAAACTAGCCAAGGTTCCCATTCCTGATTGCTATCCAATGACTCCTCCTGGAAATGTGCTTGTGCAGATGTGAAATGAATACTGTGCTCAGTGCATTTATAATATCATTATGTATATACTTATGTATATCACTAACCTCAGGCTATCATGTCCTATAATAGCATTTTATCCATAATATATTCATTTGAAAACATTTTTGAATAATTTCATTGCAGTTTCGCAAAGTTGAAGTGCTTACAGAATACCTACAGAAGGTATTCATCAATGCATAACAGTTTTAGAAAGTGTGCAGTAAAAAAAATTGTAATGCTGAGTTAATACTGTACACTCTCCGCAACTTTAAATAAAGATGAAACATTATCTTGGAAAATAGCATTTAAAATTGCATTAGACAACTGAAATTTTGCAATGTGAAATTTGTCGCAGTGATGTCTGGCAGCTTACAACATAAACAAAAATCACCGATGAAACTTGTGTATAGAATTAGTTTATCTGAATTGTCATTGCACTTGTAAATATATGATTTCTTTGTATGTTCTCTCATTTTTTCTGGCTTATTTAAAGTTATTAGTGTAATTTAGCTAGAGTTGATTATATTTTGAAAACTCAGAAAATTTTCCCTGTTAATTTTTCTTTCATTACCAGGATTTGCCACGTTATTACTTACTTAAGGCACTCACTCCATCTTATCTTCAGCTAAGGATTTCCAATCTACATCTCCAAATGATAACAAAAACTAAATGTCAATCAAGACTAATGTTCAAATTGTGATGTTCTGTGTGTGAACACAGCATTCTTCACAAATAAAGCACAAAATTGAGACCCTGCAGTTGGTAACAATATCACATTCAATTCCCAGTCTGCAGGGAGTGAACTGATCTTAAGCAAGAGAAAGATGCTAAAAATGGCTCCTGCATCCATCAAGTGGCATTGGGGAGATATGGGGGAAGGAGAACTGGTAGAACTCAGTTAGCTCTCCAATCATCTTTGCTTGAAAATGCACCCTTGTAGGTGCGGTGACATTGGACCTGATGTAATTATCTCACTTTTCATACACTCCCCCAACTCCCACATGCCCCGGGATTAGACAAGCTTGCCAACATATTGTCTAAGTTAACATACAAAAGGGATGTGGTATTAGGCAGAGGAAAAATAGGTACCAGTGAAAATAAAACTCTTGAGAGATAATTACTGCCAGGAAGACAAAACTTGAAATGACTTTAGGGAGTATGGTAACATTCGTTGATTGAGCACAATATGTTTTTCAATTCTTTGATATGACTCATCATGAAGTCTGCTTAACTCACAAAATGAATACCAGGGAATCTTCTCCAACAAATAAATTTGTGTCCCATAAAATATTACCGTTATAGCTCTTGAATTCTTGTGGGCAGTCTCAACAATGATTTTAGTAACAAGAATCGTGCAATACAGTTTAGGAAAAATGATTGTTGAAGATTGCAGCTTTAATTCATAGGTTATGACAAGTTCATATCTTTTTATGAGAAAAATCTCCAACCTGTTGGGATTTTATTATATAAAACATGAAAATCATTTGACAAAACCTACTGAATATATAAATTGCAAAGCTAGGATTTCACTTATCATATGACATCAATTCAATATAATATTTTAAAATAAATATTCCTCAGTAGGTTTAATATCTTTCGTCACAATTTTATTTCTGATTTTCATATGATCCTGAATCTACATATTTAGTTAATTTCTCAAAGTTATGAAACATGTAGCCTAGTAGCAAATGAAGCATTTTAAAAAGCAGAGTTGAATTTCTAATTATTCTTGCTGTTCTATTAGCATAATAGTTTATAATTGCAAAAGTAAATGTGTTTTATATGCCGATTTGTTTTAAATTTTTAACACAACTCAGCTATCTGTGGATAATTGAAAGCTGAGTTTTGTTTTTGAAGCTATATTTAGAAAGTATTGTACAAGCAAGTTTTTTTAATGCAACTGAGTATTCACGAGGGATAAAAGGCAGTTATTTTACGCTGCTGGGTTCCCATAACAAACAAATCTAAACTTTTAAATTACCGAGAAAAAGGAACTGTTTACACTTCATTAAATAGTTTCACTTGTCTTTCCTTTCTTGCCATGTTTGCCTGTTCTTTAAAGAAAAATGTTAACTCCAAAGGTTTGCACTTTCTACTATTCTGCTGTTACTTTTCCTTGTGCTTTTCTCTCGATCAATTCTCAAACCCATTTTCCTTTCACTCCAGAGAACACACTTCTTTCACAGCCTATGTACTATGTATTCCTTCGAACCCAAGTGTAATTGGTAAAGACTGTATAAACAAAAAAATCACTTTAGCGAATAAACTCATTCAATACACTAGCGTCCATAACTACCACATTGTCGGGTATCATGTTGCTTCATCTGTGCTTTGGTTTTGCAAAAAAAAATTACCTTCCATTGTCTTCTTTGTTTTTTTTTGTTATTATGTGTAGAGGTCATATAGAAATTATATTAAGTTTAACGAAGGGAATCATTGTTATTGGATTTCGATTAAAAAAAAATAAGCACTGCTAGTTGCAGCGCGTACTTGGATCACAATTTGCATGCAAAAAAAAACGAGCAATTCTGGCTTTATTCCAGAGAGGTAACGGGATTTCAAATACAATTCATACGTAGAATTAGCAATTAGAAAGCGAGAGTGAACCATCAACATTGAACAGAAGTGCACTGGTCTACGCAGCGAGCCAAACATCGGGAGGGTTAAAGAGAAATGCGGTTTGGGGTGGGTTTGAGGGAGGAGAGATGTTTGCATTTGCGAAGATGCAAAAAAAATATCTGGACAGCTTTGAGTTGCACAAGCAGCAGGGCTCGCCCTTGTACGGCTGGTGACGGGGAAGCCCCTGTCGAACTGCATGACGTGTGAGGCAGGGTGAAGTGTGTGACCAAGAGTTGGGGATTCCCTCTCGGGCTGCACGGTTTCCAGGTTGTTGGGCAGCTCGGCTAAGTTTTCATCCTCAACATTGCCTCTTTCCGCCCTGAACCCGGCACTGCCTCTTCAACAGCAAAGAACATTCGGGCAGGAAGTGAAATAAGTCTCAAAAAAAATGACGCACGTAAGGTAAGAGTGAAAGAAATATGTGACCCTCCAGTTTTATTGGCAGCCTCTTAAACGCGATCTTGTCCAACCCGTTCGTTGCGACGCGAGAAGCGCTAAATTGTTAACCTAAATAAAGCCCGTCTATTCCAGCGGACAAAGCGTTCCCTGTTGCAGCGTCGGGCTATCCAGAATTGGAGGAGATGAATGTTCTTCCGGGTTCACTCGCTGTGTATATATATATTTTTTCTCTTTCTCTATCTCATGATTTAAAGAGACAGCAATATTTAAAAATAAGGAAAACTGAACCCGTCGTAGAATTTCACGTTCGAGGTTAGAAACTGAACGTGCCAAAAACATACACACACAAAAAAAAGACGGAATCCCACGTAAGTAGTTTGTGGGATATTAAAAAAAAATTGCGAGCTAACACGTGCAAGTCGCTTGGTGGCAAAAAGGGGAGGGGTGGAAAAGTTTTGCAGGTCTGCTGTTTATTTTTTCTCCTTCTTTGCGTGTTGTTTTGGAAGGCGGCACCCCGCTGCTGTCGTCTCCAGTCTCTTGCCCTCCCCTGAATGCTGAAGGTGTGTATATGAGAGGGAGAGAGAGCGAGCCCGGGACTCGCTGCTGATTGTCACCTGGGGCACGAGGGGGCGTCGCGCGGACCCGGGCCACTCCTAAAGGAGGCTCTGCTCTCACCCCCGGGGGTGATGGTGATGATGCTAATGCTGTCGCTGCAGTCGTAAAGCCAAACCCCACTCGCTGCCATTCACCAATTTCACCCCCCCCCCACCTCCCCCCGTCAATGCATCCTTACGGCGGCCTTCTTTTCTTTTCTCAGGAATTCGGGTCTCATTTGGGTACTTTCTTTTAAAATGCGCAAGAAGGTGCATGTGTGCACCATTTTTAAAATGTATGTTTCTCGTTCACTCTTTTGTTTTACTCCACGGTATGGTGCTTGGATGCTTACAGCGGCGTGATGGTTATGACGGAAAAGTGCATTTTCTTATGATCAGTTAAAATTTGTTGCGTTCGTGTGAAGCGACTTAGCACGATTCGTTCACTTATTTTGTTTGAAATCCCCGGTGAACTTTGCTGTTGCTATGTGATCTGTAAGAGTAAATGATTTCCTTCCGCTCGACTTTAAGTGGATCAGGGAATAGAAAGTCGCCATTTTGATTCGTTGTCATTGGCAGTTTTACACGTCCGAGGTATTTAAAAATAAAGCAAGCACTTGGAGGGCATCTGTTTTCTGACTCCTTCATGTTTTTTTTTCATGGTTTTCCACGTCTGTTGTTATCGGGGCACCGATCTAAACTGATGCATGGGCCTTTTAGTCTGAAAGTTGTGCTACGAGAAGTTATGTGTATTTTTCTGCTTTCATTGAAAAGAACAATTGGAATTTGTAGAGCCTTTGAGGGATTTTTACTTTCCCAGTAGTAAATTTGAACATTTTTGCATCTAGTACACTTCCCTTTTCTCCTGTTGTTTAAAGAGTTTTATCCCTCGCAGATAATTGTTCTGAGGGAGATGTCGTAAAAATACATCCATAATTGAATTATTTTTTTGTAAACTGTGTAAGACCAGAGGATTTGTCTCTTCTTTTTCGAAAGGTAAAGGAGTGTTACAATTGCTGGAAAAAAGATAGCAATACTGAAATTCTTTACTATCAAACGAATGTTAATATATTCATTGTAACTAGATGTTGACCATCACCTCAGGCTGGAGTACTCCAAGAGTGTGTCTCCATAATAAAAAGTAAAAGTTAGGACAATTTATTCATTAAACAAAACGGAGAAGATTAATGCTAATCTTTCTCCACTCTGTCTCCCCCCCACCCACCCCTTCACAATTTAAGACAATACACTTTAATTACAGGCCAAGTTAAAGTGTGGTTTGTGTTCTGAAGGTACGGTCTACCAGTCTTGCACTTGGATTCTTTGTTTCATGATGATTGTGACTGCACTTGAGAAATAATTGTATTATCTGCAGGACAGTTGAGTTCGTATAAATATGAAAGGCGCTACATAAATAAATAATAAGCATCACTATCACACCAAATATAAAGCCAGATGTAATGAGTCAGGCTGACAGGGCAAATAGAATGTTTTGGACAATTTGAATTTGTTCGAAAACATGATGTTCAAAAAATTAGAAAGTAATCTGCAGTCTTGTTTTTGAGGGAAAGAATAATCAATATGATGCTGCTTTGAAATTGCAGCTTTTACTCTTGATCATCAAGTAGTAATTTCTCCAATGATTCTGTTGAGTTACACAGAAAGCATTTTAGAAAATTATATATTTGTGAAAATGAAAACTTATGTTAATTACAATCTCTTACAGTAAAGGTTATCATTGGATTTAGGCATCCAAAATCTCAACCAAAACGGTTTAAAATCTCAACCAAAATGTAGCAAATAGCATGAGTTGAACATATACTTGTGTTTAGCTAACCTTTGCTTAATTGACATTGTATAGTATTGTATTTGTTTGCTGCTTTGGTGTAACCAACTAAATTACTTAAAACATTTTTTTGTCCAGAAGTATTCTATAATTCCCAACTTTTAACATAATCATGTTTTTTACTGGAAGAGATTGGTTTGTAATATTTGGCATGCAAAACAGTTTTTTGGTCGGTTTTGGGTAGGAAAAATTTAGATTGGTTTGAAGCCTGTTTTATGTGTATCTACAGAAGTTTATTATTTGATTTATCATTTTTTTGAAACAAACAAACACACCATGGAACAAACCATTAATCTACCTCCTAATGAAAGTAGTTTTCAATAAAATGGCTATAAATTGAAAAAGACATTTCACATTTATTTCCACGTTTAAAGATGGAAAATATTGTCCATGGGTTTAATCACACTAGACAGGCAATCATAAAGTAAATACAAAACATGGTTTTCTTTTCAAAAAAAAAGTATTTTTAAAAGAAGAGGAACAATAAAATATAATAGTTCAAGTTTTTGAAATGCAAACCATCTTGAAAACTTTTGGAGATGGTGTGGGGCAAATAACAACAGGGTGATTTTGTTTGCAAAAAAAATTGTTTGGAGCTTCACATCTAATACGCTAGTCCAATTGCAATTAAGTCTTCTATGGCAGATATCTTATTTTTCTAAGTTTGTATTAGTATATAACTTGTAATTTACTTCACATTTAAAAGTGAATATAATGTACGCCACTTATTGGTATAAATCTTGTAAGTAGGGGACATGAAATATACATATTAGATTGTGATGAGAATAATATTTTTTTAAAAATCTTTAATTGTACAGAGGGAAAAAGTGCGCCTCTGTCAGCTTTAGGAACGCTTCGTGTAGCAGTTACTGTTTCCTCCTGACTAGTAAAAAAGTATTTGTTTTTCTTTATTCAATATGAACATGTTTCTGTTTTTTTTAGGTACTTGTATCTAACATCGGTTATTGCTCTAGATTAAAACGTTTTGGGAATTTAACTAGAGAAGTTCTAATTCGTTTTGACACTTGAGATTTCAGTAACAAATCTAAGTAACCATGCGATTAGACATTACTGAAGTAAACCTGCCATTGATTGGATTGCATTGACCAGCTGGAACATGTACAAAACTTGATATATTATAATAAATGAATATTGGAGACCTATTATCTTATCAAAGCAAGTAAAAGCATGCAATTAAACCCAGTATTTCAGTTCTCATTGGATAGAAATCTTCCATCTTATAATTCCACAAATCTTTTTATAAATATTTATAACTCTTGGTGTATATTGTGTATTTCAATGATAAGTTTAATTTCATGAACAGTGAAATACTTTAGTATGCAGCAATGCTTATAAAGTGGCTGGTTTATTTAGAAAGATTACATCACTGGTTAAAGGGCAGCTGGGTTATGCAATAAATGCTGTCATAGTCAGCAATGCCTATATGCCATGAGTGAATTTTTTTAAAAATTGAATCGTATAAAAATTAGAAAATTTGAGATGAAACGTTACAAAAATGGTTGTTTATAAGCAAATAGGAATTAATTACATTGACTGTGTTTACTTCAAAAATTAAATTAATTCATAGCAATCCTGATCCAATAATATGCTCAATGGGGAAACATAATAAGTCAGAATTCGTATAAATTTATTCTACTGCTCATAAATGACCTGTTAAGTTTAGGACCAAATGTAATGTTGCTATTTAATCAAAAAGATTTTAAAAAGTTAGAAAAAATATTTTTTGTTGATTTAACACATCATACTCATTGAAGTTCAAACAGTAAAAGCTTGTTTATTTAAAAATGAGTTTGTAATAATAACATTTATGGGCTCCTTAGCATTGTTAAGTTTCAAAATGTTCGCTCGCTGCTATCATTTGCAATGATAATGTAGAGTGGTGATACAAATGTAGTGTTTTATTACATATCATGAAGCTGAAAATGATTCCTTTAAAGCATTAAATAAGGGTATATCATACAAGTAGGAGAAAATGTTAATGCATTTCATTAAAAATCCAAAATGCTTTTTCTAATGGTGCAGATATTACTCCTTGGTTACAGTTGTACAATAAAACTATGGTCTCCAATAAACTTTTTTTAAAAAAGTTAAATTATTACTTGAAATAGTATTTTCTTAACTTCATAAACTGAAGAGTCAAGTTCCCAGGAAGAATTCCTTGTTATATAAAATGTTGTTCTGCAAATGCAATTCTTGCTGGTAGCTCACTGCATGAAGCGGGGTCTGACTTGATGAATGGTCTTTGGTGCCTGTGGGCCATGTTTTTTTTCTGAGATGGAAAGGAAATGGTACAGCTTATGTGTGGTATCTTGCAGACTGACACTGCCATGTTAATTTTGAGCATTTTAGTTATCTTCTAGATGTGATGTTTCATGAAATAGGGTTGTGTAACATTTAAAATAGGTATTTAAATGTTTGATATTAATGAAGAAATATATGCTAACCTCATTTAAATCACAGCAGTTTGTTTATTGTCAGGCACACAATGCAAGGCACTAATGTATCCTGGAGTGTTTAAAAGCCCAGCTGGCTGCCAGT